AAAAAAATTGCAATTTTTTAAAAAAAATTGCAGTTTTTTTGAAAATTTTGCAATTTTTTTAAAAAAAATATTTTTTTTTCATTTTTATTTAAAAATTCACATTTTCTGAATAAAAAACCTCCGTTTTTTTTTTAAAATCGAAAATGATTATTATTTTTTTTTAAATATGAAATTTTATTAATTAATAAGAAAAAGTTATAATCTAAATATAATTAAGAAATAAAAGGGAAGGCCATTGAAGTTATCAATTGAAAAAACAAAATGACCAAAGGGCTTCTAGTCATCGTTATCAAGTGGTGTTTTTCCTTTTTAAGGTCGATGGTTCATGTCTCGTTGTGGACATAGATGAAATTATGTGTTAGCTTAAGAGTATATTAGATTTACCGGTTCAAAAATAATAATAATAATAATAATAATAATAAATTTACATCTTCAATGCTATTAAGTGGTGATAAGTGGTTAACATAGTAAAAAAGCAATATAAAAAAACTTGTACAGAAGATGCTCTAAGACTAGTCGGTATGTGTCTCAACGCACATGTGTCTCTCAACTGCATTGAGAGGCCTATGTATAGCTCCTTAACGCCATTATGGCTAAATGAATACCGCCCCGCCACTATGTGGTGTTAAACCCCTTTGCCCTTTCAACATTGCTCCACGTCGTTTAACACAGAAGAAACGAATCAATGTTTTTATTCTTTTTTTTAAGTGGTGTGATGTGGTATTTCCTATAAAAAATAGAATGGTGTGGAAAAAAATATGACAGGTGTGTCAAAAAGATGATATGGAGAGGGAGACACATACCCACCACCCTAATATGACAGAGGGTACACTTATTTTTTACCTTTTATTTTATTCCGTGTCAAATCAATACCAACTCATTTTTCCCTCACTTTCTAAACACCCTTCAAAACCCAAAAAATAGTTGTCTTTCGCTTCCCGTTATATTTTATTTTTTATTTTAAATGTATATAAAAATATTATATTCTATTTGTAGAGATCTAAAAACCATAAATTTAAATATAGTTTTTATAATTTTTTAGTATATATATATATATATATATAATAACATTTATATAAAAAAATAAATAAATAAAATAGGAGAGAGAAGGCGGAAACACAACCCGCACAAAAAAATCTTCCACATAAACCGCACCCAGATTGTAATGTTCTCGGATGCGATTCCAGTCATCAAACCATTATGTGCGGATGTATGTATACCGTGAAGCATGAGGCTATAGCTAAATTGCCAACTATATTTACTACCAAGAAGTAGATGTGCACACACTACAATAAACATAACTTTTGGAGAGGACACAAGTCGTCTCTAAAAGTGAATATGTTGTCTTTAAAAGTCTACGGCAGAAACAATTGTTGTTGAAATTTTCCTCGTTATAGGCATGTCGCTAAAAGTTTCTATTGCTACGACATCGTTATTCTCACTAAAATAATTACTTTCATAGAAAACATGTTTGTCTCTAAAATTATGAAATTATTTAATTTATTAAATACTTTTAAAGACCACATGTAGTCTTTAAAAGTAACTAAACAATTCAAAAAATAGAAATGTTTTAATCCAAAGTAATCCAAATACCCTCCATGGTGACCAAATAAAACACCAATTAACTAATGGTTTTGTTCAGCCTCGTCTAATTATAATTATACAAACATTTTAGTGTGTTTTATCAATTATAATGAACAAAGCAGTATTAAGTGCATTTCATGCACTTAATTTGCATATTTATCTCATCTTTACCATTGTATTTAGAAGTTAAAATCATGTATTTTTAAATGTTTTCGGTTATTTCTTGTCTATCGGTGGAACACCTTTACTTGTGTATTTTATGGTGGTTTTCAGGAAGAATGGGATGCACTTTAGGGATTTTATAAAAGCTCAAGACAAAATTCGGAAGTAAACGGATAGGAAACGAAAAAGTTAGAAAATTCAAGGAGGATCCAAATAGGAGGTTTCACACCGGACTTTTGAAAATAGGCATAAAAGAGCACACGAGGCGTGTTGGAATCCAGGAGTTGACTTTAATGCACACGGGGCGTGTGGAAGCTTACATAGAGCGTGTGGATTCAGTATAAATCCACTCGAGGCGTGTGAAATCCAAAATAGGCCAAATTCAGCATTCTACTTTAGAAGAATTTCCGATTATGGCACCCTACTTTCCCTTCCACATGGGCATGTGGAATCAATGTAAATCCACATGGGGAGTGTGGATCCCAAAAACTACCTTTTGGCCGTTTTTCCTGATGATCTATTTCGGTATTTTTAAGGTCTTTCACACTCTCTCTCATTTCATACGACTTGAAGGTAATTTTTATCATCATTGTACTCGTGAGTCGAAGACACCAATGCCGGCCCACTAGATTATGTATTCTGGTTATAGGATAGTACTATGCTACTATATGATTGATTAGCAGATATAT